TTAATTTCCAAAAAATCTGAATAAGTGTTTTTCAACATGAATCACTGTGATCAGCTCACAGGCATGATGCACTTAAATAAATGTTTCACTGAGTAAAAGTATTGTTGAAATTGCACATACTTGCACATATTTCTTAAAAACGCTGAGGTTATTCATAACATATTGTCTAAAAGTGAAATTCATTTAATATAAAAACCAACAAGTCCCCTTATTACTAGTTATTAATTACTTATTATTAATTCTATTTAATCTTGCAATGAGTTTATTTGTGTGGCCCCCTTGAGATAAGATTAAGCTGCATGTGGCCCCTAAACCACAATGAGTTTGACACCCTTGCCTTAGACTGACTCTCTGGGTCCCTGAGCAAGACCCTTAACACCAGACTGCTCCCCAACTCAGCTCACTGCCCCCCAAGCGGATGGGTTAAATGCATTTATTTATTTTACTTTAATAAAACTAATGTTTTAGAGTTAGAAACTTGCTTCAGCCAGAACAAATCTGGGTACAATCTGGAAGAAAAATGGTAACACTAGGAAATATTTAAAATCCAAATAAAAAAAAGGATAAAAAGAAAGTCCTTTAAATCTTTTCTACATCTTGGTTGAAATAGTGGAAAAAAACTGGATAGAAGAGCATGGAGGTGGCTTAAATTTAGCAGAAACTGGAATATAACCTGCTTAAATTCAGTCTGGTTTTAATACATTTTTAGAGGGATTTTCAAATTAAAAGAATAATTTTACTAATTGTAAAAACCAAGACAAGTCTTGCGATCTTTAAAAAAAAAAAAAGAAAAAATCAGAATAGGACCAAAAATCTGGAACAAATACTGAATAAAACAAAGATTGGACTCATAACTTATTATTGTAGTAAAAAAAGGAAAATAATGCATCTGAATTTCAGAATAAATGCAGAACGATGAAACAAGATGAAACCAAAATAAATTGAAGGTAAAATATATAGGAGTATGTGTAAGAGAGCGACTTTCTCACTCCAGCCCTCAAGTTTGTTTGCCGCTACAGAGATTAAAATAGAGTTGCAATCAGAGCACAGGTCCATGCATGCAAATTTAAATGCCTTTGTCAGATCAAGTGCATGCAATGCTGCTCACTCCATTTTCTGCCTTTATTCACATTTTCTTTGAGTTGTTTGTTTTTAAATC